GGCGCTTATTCTATACCTGAGAGTATTTCACATGTGAAATATAAGGATTTATTTTACCGGAAGTGCAAAGCTAAAACAACTCCGTGTATGATATATAGTATCTAAAAGAAACTTGAAAATGTCTTCCCCCAGTCATCATGCTAAAGCCTTGCACTCACCACTCGTGCAGCATACCAGTTGCTAAATGAATTCTGCATCATTTGACACATTAATTTTTTCTTTACGATAAGAGTCGCCCAAGACATGGTCACTCAGAAATAACCTTTAAAAAATCAAGCTTGGCAAAATTGTGTGAAATAAAAAAACCCTCAAAAGTGTGTTTGAGCGCGTATCAAAGATGGTTATAATAGTACTAGAGGTCGCAGCTGTGACGTCACCCATGTAAACCCACTATGGCTGTGCGGGCCCACTCAGCTCGCTTTATTGCCATTTTTGAGAGGATTAGAAACAGCGCTATCACGCTGCATGTCCCTCGCAACGGTTACGTTTTCATAGAGCTTGAACTCAGTTCAGCTTTTTTGTAAGTTCTTTTTGTTTGCTGTTGTTGTTTAACCATATAACATACACGCATACACAATACCGCACCTGCTGACCGATTTTGGGAGACATAAATGCACGTATATGTTGGCTACAAATGAACAGAGAGATATATAACATGAGGTATTGTGTGTTTTTCGCGGGTGGGGTAGGGGAGGGGCGGAGGGAGACAAAATGAGTATTTGAGTTTGTTAAGAAAAAGGGCGATTTCATACTTACAAAATGGATTGCTTTCATGACATGTTGTCTACACTCCCCTTCTACTGATGCAAAGCCTAGAATTCGTTATTGTCTCAAAATTAGCAATTAATTGTAGGCTGGGATACTGTAAATCACTCATCGTATGGATCCTGTGTGCACACCCAAATAGCGTTGTTTAATATCGGGCACAAATAATAACATTATTATACTGACAACATTTTAAAATGCAACATTTAGATAAATAGCCGGTTTACCTTAAACGTTCACAATATTTTCTAAAATTGGCGTTGATTGGCAATGGTGTTTGACTACACAACACCCCATCTTCCATGAACCCCTGCTGCTGCTGTTGCGCATGCTGTTTGGCATCGGTTCCACAAATGAGACAGAATATTACACCGGTATTATTTGTGGATATTTACGCTGGTTGGTTATATTCTCTCATCTCAACAACATCGACAGTGGTTCTTTTCCGTTCAACCAGCCTTGAAGGTGTGCTAAAGTTGCTACTGAAGCTTCTAGCAGCTTCTCAGTCATATTCCCAATTCCAGAGGGCCGATACGAGCACCTTGTTGTGGTTAGCGGTGCTAAATCTAGACATACTGTTTGAGCGACGCACAGAAAAGATTTCAATAAAACTATGTTTTTTGTTTTAACAAGGGATCATCAAGTCCATCTCATTCATTTTTCTGAATTTTACTCACCCATATGGTCATACGTGTAAAAGGCCGTGTTTGCATTATTTGGAGATTACCTGGCTTATTTAAATGTAAACAATCACAAAAATCCCTTTGAGTACATTTTGCGACAGATAAATCGCATGAAAAAGAGATCAACATCAAAAGACTTTGCAGAGTACTATTAACTCGTGATTGAAAAGTGTTGCTGTGCACAGACTGGCCTTTTATTCCTCTCCAGAATGGCGGCTGGCCCCTCAACTTTTACACTCGTGACGTCACAGCTAAGACCTCTCGTTCTATTTGTAACCTCTTTGGCGCCTATTGAGGTGCACCAACATTGGTAGAACGGACATGTATTGCACATTAAATTAAGGAAGAAATTTTGTATCAGCTATATATACAATATTTTATTACGATAGTTTGAAAGAGATCAGAAAACAGAACTGCCACAAATACCTGCGCTCATTAGTATTTTGTTTAGGAGACATTGTTTGGGTATTTTTAAAAATACGAACCCTTTGGGCTTGGGTTATGTTAAATTTTGGACATAATTATCTGTTATTTCATCCAAGAAGTCACAGAAAATAGTAAACAAAGCGTCTGAGCTCAAAACGAAATCAGTTTTCTTCAGTTGCTGTTTTACGGGGCTCCACATTATTTGTAGGATTCATATCGAGGCTATATATATACTGATGACAACTCTGTTGTTGGTATGATTTACTTTTCTAAGAATTGTCTAAAGCTGCTTTTCATGTGAGGGGGCACTTTGTCATGTACCGTACAAAGATGTCTACTTGAATGACACCGTGACAAACATAAGGATACGACATGACGTTCCAGCACTTGCGAGATGTAGTCAATTAAACAAAGCCTTCCATTGATTCTTTCATATGGGGTTTTGTTCATTCTAGCCAGGCCCAAGTTTTGGAGGTATTTGTAACTGCACTGGTTTTCCAATCCGTTTGAAAATGTAGTAAAACATTGTTCCTTTCTGAGACAATAATATTCTCCATTTATTTGATACTAGCAGGGTCCCCTTTCGCTGAAAGGAATGATTGGTGCATTAAGACCAGCTAAAAGTCATTGGCCTACTATATTTACACTCTACTAGAATGGAGTAAAAAATCTAGAGAGAAAAGTGACACATTATGTTTTCAAGTTGCCAAATATATATATATATATATAGATTGATTCTCTATTTTGCTTTCGTGGTTGTTCTCCATAATTTCAAAGATGTGGCACCAGTGCGCATGCTGATGAACGGAAACCTCACTTCTGTTTTTATTTTAATGAGACTGTGAAATTGAAACGTGGAAAGCAGTTTGCGTGGATTTTTAAAAATTAGGTCCTAGCCCAGTGGATGCTGTAGACTCAAAGGTATGGGTTAGGTAATAAGGGAGGAGTTTGTGCACAAAGCCTCCCAAATCCACTTTTATATATATAGATGCAATACATGTCCACCCCACCAATGTTAATACACTCAAATACAAGCACGAATACACTTATGTTTCTTTGATTTCAAGCAATTTTACCAAGCATGATTTTTAAAGATTATTTTTGAGCGACCATATTTATCTTGGGTGACTCTTATAGTAGATGAAAAATTAATGTGTGATTGAGAAGGGGAGGAAGTGGGCGGGGAGGAGTGGGAGGGTAGGGAAGTGAGTGGGGTGTGTGGGTTGAGGGGAGGAACGGGCGCAGAGTGGTGGGTGGGTAAGGGGAGTGGACTGAGTGGGTGAGGAAGAGTGGGTTGGTGGATGAGTGGAGGGGGAAGTGGAAGTGGAGGGTGGGGGGCAGGATTGGTATGTAGGGGATGACGGCAAGAGAGTTAACCACTTATACCTTCCTCCTCAAGACTAAAGAGAAATGAATCAGCACTCATTTTCGGCTCTTTCGTTTAGTGGTCACTTCATTACAAACAAAAAACAATAAGAGCTCACAAATGAAAAACAACGAGCACTTACAGAGAAAATAGTGCCAAAGACAAAGTGAGCTTCTTTATCCGTCCTCTTGTAACTCAGGGGCGGTGAAGGAACAAGAGCTCCCTGTCTCTAGCAAGTTTGATGGCCTGGCTGGGTGGGACATTGTATGTTCTCAGGGTATCCTTCACATCCTGAATCCAGGTCTTTCTCGGTCTTCCTCTTGCCTTGCACCCTGATACTTTCCTGTAGTAGGCTTTACTGGCAAACAGATTAGGTGCCATGCGTGTGAGATGTCCAAACCACCTGGTTGTTTGCATTCGAATGTAGTGGAGGACAGTTGTTGTTCCCACCATTTCTCTGATCTTTTTGTTTCTGACCATGTCCCGTCTGGTTTTGTTGACAGTTCTCCTTAAACATCTCATCTCGCTGGTGGTTATCTTACATTCCAGACTTTTGGTCAGGGTCCATTTGTGGTAGATCAAGGTGGGGATGAAGATACAATTAATTAGCTAGGCTTTGGTCTCAATGGGGATGTTGGGATGTTTGAGGAGTGGGGCAAGCTGGTAGCTGACGCTGTTAGCCTTTTGTTCTTTTGTCTCAATTTCTCTGTTGAAATGTCCTTCTTCTGAAAAGATGCTACCAAGATACTTGAACTCGCTGACTTGTTTCAGCGGATTTCCGTTGATGGGGATGTTAAGGTTGCCATGTGTTCAGCTGATTTTCATCGTCTCCGTTTTGCTTTTACTGATCTTCAAGTCGAGCTTTTCACATTGTGTGTCCAGCCTGTCTGTGTGCTCTTGACATTGCTCTTCTTTCTCATATTATGCCAGGCTTTGATCATCCTCAAACAGTATCTTGTTCAGGTTTATCGGGTTGGGGCTTGCTTCTGTTGTAATTTTGTCCATGTATATTATAAACAGTAGCGGTGATAACACACACCCTTGTTTCCCTCCAGATGACACGTCGAACCAGTCGGTGAGTCTGTTTTGGGTGCGGACTGTGCTCATACTGTTGGTACAGAAGGCTTTGATGTTGTCCAACAGTTGTCCCCTAATGCTGTACTCTTCAAGTGTCTGCCACAGTTTGTTTCTATCCACTCTATCAAACGCTTTTTCCTGGTCTACAAACTCAAGATTCATTTTTTTGTTTCAAGTGAGCACTGAACTAAAGAACAGTAATAGAGCGGTCTTTCCTCATAACTCCTCCCCCTCAT